ACACACACACACACACACACACACACACACAGACACACAATATTCCGAATGTCAGGACTGACATTGCAAAATCACAGCAGAACGTCCTGACAATATTTGTGGCTCAGGTGGTCGTCATGTATCTTAATGCTTCAAAAATGTTTATTTCTTATATTTCTATGTGAGTCATGGTGGAGAAGCGAAGAGACAACATAACTATGAAAACAAACCAAAGGAACATTTTGGATTTAGATTCATTCATTATCAAAAAGGTACCAGAATTTGACCTTTAGGTGGGCAGCATGTTTGGTTCCATTTCCGAAAAGTAAATCACACTCAGGTTCATTATGCACAACCTTTTGATAAGTTCGACTAGTTAGAATTAGTTTGCGACCTGGTACTAGCGAGACCTTCAACTTGAGCCTCATAAACTAAGGCTTGCTTTTGCCTTTAGCGAACCTACAAATATTGTTTTAAAAAATATTTTATGGTTTTCTTTCTAAATTGTTTTTTTTTAAAAGTGATCTGGTATGACAGATCTCACTATAGAAATAGCCCCCTCCCTTTTTCCCCCACCCTACCTACTTTAAATACAGAGTGATCACCAATATGAAGTGCAAGATCTGCAACAAAAATCGGCAAACATGGTTCAGCACCCATGTCTGTGCCCGAATGCTCTCAAAAACTTGTATTATCCTAGTCTTTTCCCGTCACCTATCTCTTCAGCTTTCCTGAGTAAGTTGATCTGGGTCTGCTCTCAACACAGAGTAAACTTCATAATTGGCTAAGAGCACACTTTGTCGTCTTAAATGAATTTGGATGAGCAGCGACATTTTTGCACACAAACACAATATTCCGAATGTCAGGACTGACATCGCAAAAGCACACGCGGAACGCCCAGACGACCCTTGCGGCACATGCGATCGTCATGTTTATTAATTAAGTGGAAGGGTCAAGGGTTAAGGGTTAAAGAAACTCACAGATTCCCCCCCGACAAGATCAAAGAAGAGAAACAGCTTCGTGGTCTCTGTATTGACTTTGAAGTTATTTCGGTTTGAACCCGGGCCCTCTGTGTTGACACAGTGGGCCATCTAAAACAACTTATGGGAGTGATGTGGGGATGACATTCAGAGCTCGACCCCAAACGACCTGTATTTGTCTGTTCTTTCGAAATCAGCCACCTGATCTGCCCCCCCCCCTCTCCCTACCCGTTCAACCGACCCTTCTCCTCTATTTCCATTTCCTCTCTCTCCACTCGTCTCCTCCATCTCCCCCTACCTCTCCCACTCCCTCTCCCCTCCTCCCCTTCTCCACCTCATCTCCCATATCCTCTCGTCCACTTTCCTCTCTCTCTTTCCTCAACCCATCAACCCTCTTCCCTTGCCCCTCTCTCCACCCCATCTCCTCCATTACCCCCCCTTCCGCCTTCTTCTCTCCTACCATTCTCCATTTACTCTCTCCCTTCACACCTCTTCCCATTCATTCATCGCCACTACCACCCCCCACCCCCCTTCTTTTCTGCTCAATGTGTTGTCTCAGTCACCATGTCTTTCTTCCAGAGTCTTATTATTTCTGTCTCTCTTCCAATTACTGTTTCCTCACCCAGTTCTCTCTCTCTCTCTCTCTCTCTCTCTCTCTCTCTCT